CCGTCACCGACGACGACGACAACGTCATCGTCGTTGGGGTCGGACGGCGAAGAAGTGCTCACTCTTCCCAGCTCTTCGGGCTTCACGTTGTGCCAAGCGAGGAATCGAAGACAAACAGGCGGGATTACGCGACAGTAAAACCGCGGGGGTACGGTGTGTTTCTGGATTTCCAATACATAGCCCGCACTACGATTCATGCTTCGACACTGTCGGTCGCCTAGGAAGAAGGAAGGAAAGAAGGAAGGAAGGCGCGCGAGGATCATCTCGATAGGGTGTGCGCGCGCTAGGTTACCGGTCTACTTTACGAGGCAGCGATTCCCATTCCGCGTCATAAAGTTGTTTTCCTTCGCCTTGGCAGTATCGCGCGGATGTGGCTTCCGAAGTTGTGGGCGACGCGCGGCGCGCCTCAGAGACAGCGAGACCACGAGTCATTGTTAATGTTTATGGGACCCGCGTATCGATAATCGTTTGCTGTACTCCGACACGGCAAATTGCAAAGCGTCGCACATTCTATCGTGGGGAGGAAGCACGAATCGTGAGAATTTTACGAGGCAATCGTTGTGCTTGTGGCTTCAATATTTCAGCAAATTCGTTCGAAGCTTCGTCGTTTTGATTGTCGCGAACGTTTGCGCTCGATGTCTCATTGTATATGCAAACGTCGCGCTCTGGTGATATCGATTAATTCTGTATCCATTCACGCGTTGAAAAAACGAATATGGTTGGCCCATGAATCCAAACCAGATAAGGTCCAACTAAGATATGGAACAATTAATTATGCGGTTTCTGTAACCACAGAGTAATTGCTGAGTTATTGGCGTTGCAGCAGTGACGATATCTAGTTATTCCAGCCAGAGTTCCAACTCACGCTGAATATCACCCCAACCGATTTCTGGTTGCCACAACCAGATCACGCACATTGATGTAGCTGATGTACCAAAGCGACTGAGTCATATTAAACATACATATTACCACCACACGAAGATAACTAGGGTGATGCGACTATGCTGCTCGAAATTAAATATTTCTGGTTACGTGCGCCATATCTTTTCTTTTCGCACAGATATTACCCAGGAGTATCTACATTCGTGGATATCACTGGGACAAGCAGATGGTGAACAGTTGCGAGTCTACATAGCAATCGTTCGTTATTCGTAGAAAGCTTGTAACGCGAGAAAATCAATTTGTTTCGTCAGAGAAATCAATAATTAGGCAATACCTGGAATTAACGACATATACTCAGGTATGTGAGATATATTTAGGTATAATTAAATGTTGCAACACTTCTTCGATAAGTTTTACGACGTGTCCCGTATACAATCGGGAAATGTATCTCTTAATAATTTCCAAGAAAAAGATTTTCTGAAACAGGACGCGTTGCGACATTCACTGAGAAGTGTGCAGCCTTTAGTCATCTGACAGCACTCGAGTGATCGGAACCGTTAATGTCGGTTAATATCGCGGAGACAATGCACTTTGTGCTCGTACACTTCTATCATCTCCGAGCGTTTCGCACTATGAGGAGTATTCAATTGACCCGATCGCGGCTGATATTCCGTTTGTCTTATACGACATCACGTTCCGTTGACCACCAGCGTCGAGCAGTACGCTACGTGCGCATCTAAGTGAGCCATACACAGCAGTGTGTGTGTGCTGTACCGAGTACATATCCTCAACTTTTACCAGCACTCGCCGCCATTTGGTCTCCCGAGAACCTCATCAAGTAAAAACGCGCAGATTCGAAATCGTATTCGGACTTTGGCTTCGATTCGAGTGCAATCTTCCGGCGCTCACGTATCCTAAGTAAATACGAGGACTTCGCCGTAATATAAGACTAGTTCCTAACGCAGCATATAGTTTTAACAATGTTTCAGCCGAAGGCTGAAGGAAAGGACATCGGGCGTATTTAATTAATCGTGATGAGCCATATTAGCCGCTTTCGCGCACGAGTCTTGATATTAGTGCTATATCATAAATTTGCGAAAAATAAACTGTCGGCCAAAAGTTCGGCATCGCCATGTAAATTAAGCGATAGAGGAACATCGAGACAGAGAGAAATTTTTGAGACAGTTTTACGACATTTTTATCCCTTCTAAAAATTACAGTTTATAATTTAAGCAAATCGCAACGCATTAGAAGATTTGCTTTGGTGAAAAATCGGCCGATAATTCCAAACTTTTGGCTGACAGTGTATATGTAATGGTATTATTGATGAATATTATGAAAGCTTCTCCAAAAATTCATTAGCGAGAACTTTGAATTTTATGTATACGTCAAAAAATCTTATTATTGCTATTTAAAAACATTATTATTATTATCTTCATGGTGATGGCTCAAACTGTGGAATGATCGCAGCGGTCAGTGCAGTACGACCCCAGCGATGGAAGGGGTTAATCAGTATTAGCAAAGGTTGAATTATTACTAAAGTAATGCCGCTTAATGAGCGAATTTATGTTACGCACACGTTCAAATCGACGTTACGATATATTGGAATAAACCCCGCGTAATTTAAGAGAACAGGAGGGAAACGATAATATATATATATATATATTCTGATGGCGTTACAGCTACGCTCCGACGCCCAGCAGATGATACTGAGAGCTATTATACTGCTTTAATAACGAATGAATATGCCACATATTCTCATCGCTTAATTAATTCTTTTTGCAGCCCGAATGTGACGGCGGGGAGTATTTAATTATCCCTCTACACGCGGCACGTAACTTTTACGTAATCGTCAGCCGCATACAGATTCGCGGCGGTAACGTTAAAACATTACGACGGCTTATAACGCGGGTGAACCTATTAAAAAAATATTATCATAATCACGATGTAATGCCAGTTGTTATCCCCGTGGGGCTTAGTGAAATGAACCAAAAATCTCTCCTTTCCGCGTTCGCATTGCGCGGAATTATTGTAACTAAAACATGACGTGGCTTGGCGCGTAAACGAACGTAAATCCATGATGTCATTCCGCGTACTGCAAATGTCGGCTAAAGTTTCGGAAATGTACGAACTGTTATTTTATTCGAGAAATCCTCGATGCCCCTGGATGTGTATTGTATTTCTTCTTTTTTTCGTAGATAAATATATTTATTATGTAACGCAGTAGCACATTTTCTGTCGGATTACGCGTTGATTTGGATTTTACTTCGCTACCGTCGCTCGCCGAAACTTCACACACGGGGATTCGCATCTCAAGCATTTAGGAGATTTTTAATTGCGGAGCTTGGTATATCTGTATTTTGTTGCGTCTCCCCGCGGTGTCATCTGATGAATACGCGGATGGTTCCTTGTGAGACACAAAAATTCTTTAATTCCTTCGCTTTCGACTTTCGCTCGCGGGGAGTATCTTATTTAACCCTCTCGGCAAACTTGGCGCGCGAGCATGGCGCGCGAAGGGTAAATGTGGGAACTGCATTATTTAAACGTAGCCCTAGTTTATTTGTTTTAACGAAACGTAACTACGTTAAACAGATTAAAGGAACGCATTAGCTGGAGCATGCCGCTCCGCGCCACCCGGCTGCCGGCGTGTGCTGCTCTTCAACGGGTCGTCAAAAGTTTAAGCCGATAATTAATGCGTTACCAGAGTAACGCGCTTTACACGTTAATGCAATGTTGACTGTTATAATTAAATTTAGAACTAGATAACGGTAGTAGTTAGTACGGGCCCTACAATGCGGCTGCGGCACAATGTGACACGGCGCGACGTATTGTTCGTTAGATACCAATCGCGCATCAACGGTGCGCATCGCGCATTACGTCCTGCGAATTGCGATTCAATTTGTAACTCGTGGATGCGCAACATCGCCGACATCTAATCGGCGTCTGCGGCGATAATTTTGCACCATTTAGCTCGGGCGGAAAAGTCATCGCCGTGTGGTCGCGCTAAATAAGCGTCCATTTATTAAGACTCCTGGGTATTCGCTGCGGCCATGTTTGATGGTGACGAGAAACAATACGTTGACTCTTGTACACATCCCATTTTCGAATAAAAAGATATCTTCACAGTCGAAATTTTTATCCTTCTTTCAAATTCAATGTTCCATTTAATATCTGTTTTGATAGTTCTATATCGACCTAGCTTTGTCGAGAAAGTCCTCTTTAAAAGCTTACAGGTAGCATTTGGTGCGTTTTAGAGCCAACTTAGTGCCATTCAGAGGCGTTAAGTGTTAAGCAGATGTTAGGTATAAGAACAGCGAACGATCGCAACACACACACACACATACATACACTCACACACACATTCTCGCAGAGCGAAAAAGATCAGAGACAGCCGCGACTTGTGATACGCCGACGTCGACCCCTTTTATAATAACACGCGCGGCTCACGTTGCGACTCAAAAACTTCCCCGAGAGTAGTGAGCACAACAGGGAAGGAGAGTCATTCCTTTGTAGGACAGCGAGGCAACACTCTCTCGCAAGCTTGCGATCAGTTAACATCGTAAGAGTTCAGAAAGACACGCCGAATTGTCGTAACGCGTTCTATAGGAACGTATCCGAACAATTAGGCCTCGATACATGATACATCTTATTATAACGCGATAGTTCAACGGAACGTATTATTAGAACAGCAAATAAATCAATCAAACAAACATGATCGAGGATATTAATATTATCCCGACGAAACACTTAACATTAAGTAGGATTTAAGTTTCCACGTGTGTTAAACATGTATTGAAGTTTCAGAATATACAAATATTTGAAAGTTCAAAAATTGAAAGTAGGCTCAAATTTTCGACTCGGGTTGAGTGAAACAACACTTGAGATCGTTTGAGTACAGTTGTAAAATGCTCCGAAAACTACCCCTTTCCCTTGACAGTCAATAAGTAACAATCGGTCAGTAAACAGTAAAACCAACGTGACAAAATCATGAGAAAAGATAGATTGAAGGTTGCGTGTCACATGTCATCGATCAAGATGTTGCGCGGCGAAAGACCAGGAACCTTAAAGTCAACTAATAAATATCATCTATTCCGATAAGAATTCAATCGGGGACTCACCGGTCACCTTGATGTGATGGGGTAATTGAGCACGCCACGTGTCCTGCATCTTTCGATCGGGTGCGACGCATCGGTACTCGCCGGCCTCTTGGTAGACCACTCGGCTGAGAGCGAGAGGCCCGGGCCCGCCAACTGGATCCATTCCGGGGCCGTGACCCCAACAGCCGCCGTCGCACTCGAGGGTCACCGCGCCGCCAATCTGCACCTCCATCCTTCGGGAATCGGTCGCCTCGCCGTTCAGCGCCTCCGCCTCCGTCTCCATATCTGGATCATCTAAATGCCATTGATTTAAATCTCTTGACGAGTGGCGGACTCGAGACTCGGGCTCAAACGTGCAATATGCATCTCCCTCGCCGTTGCTCACCGACTACGTCGAGAACAGGCGAGTAGAGAATATGGCGACGAAAGCAAGCCGCAATGTGGATACAGCGCTCGCTTGGAGTTGCAGACTTTCTCTTACCCGTTTTCGCGAACTATCTTTCTGCACTTCGCGAATACGGAGAAGAACACGGTGAAATATGCGACTCCGCGACAAAAGTAACGCCTCAAAATGAAATTCTGAATTTCATAGCCTCGCGTCTCCGAGAAGCCAACGCTCTGTACGCTTTGTTGTCACATGTGTATACTGTTGTCTTTCGACATTAGATGCAGGTATATAAACATTTGCAGTGCGTTGGAAGAAAATGTTAGTCAAATTGTGTGTGCGTGTGTGTGTGTATACGCGCTATATATACAGGGTGTCTCACACTCTCCTCCGGGCATTTTGTGGAGACGTAGAACAGGTTGAAATGAACGTAAAAATCCTATACTGTTTTGCGATATTCGCAATAATTATCGAGATATTAATTGTAGAAAACTTGTAAATGATCATGCAGAATATGGTAAATGAGTTATAGTAGCGACGACTGCCGTCGTGTACTTATACTTTAGGTCAAATTGAACAAAAAAGTCCTCTACCATTTTCCAAATAATCACATAGATTTTTAATTATTAATTAAAGAAGATTATTGCACGATTTTGCGTGATAATGCACTCATCTTCTTTAATTAATAATTAAAAATCTATGTGATTATTTGCAAAATGGTAGAGGACTTTTTTGTTCAATTTGACCTAAAATATAAGTACACGACGGCAGTCATCGCTATTATAACTCATTTACCATATCCTGCATGATCATTCACAAATTTTCTACAATTAATATCTCGATAATTATTGCGAATATCGCAAAACGGTATAGGACTTTTATGTTCACCTCAACCTGTTCTACGTCCCCACAAAATGCCCGGAGGAGAGTGTGAGACACCCTGTATATATATAGTCTGCACAGTTTACCAGCTTCGCGGTGCATTTAAAGATCCGCGGCGTATCTATTTCGGTCGTTACTTTGAATCGCTGGTTTAATATCGCTCAACCGCCCCGTCAACGGTACCAAGGAATTATCTTGGTATCGGAAATCAACGGCACGTACGAGAGATAAAGTTGGATCGGAATCTCCGCCTTCACGTACCGGAGATCCGGCAAAATCTTTTCTGCACCGTACGTCGTGACGCGTACCGCCGGTTTCAACTTCCACTCCGCCTGGTCCTTTCCGATTCCACCTATGGAATTATACGGCTATGATCGTTTGCTCTCCAGCTAGCGCTGTGTCCACAGTCGCAGAGAGACCGAAAGAAGGAGAGAGGGACGAAGGGCGCGAGAGGGAGCAGACAGAGGAGCGAAAAAGTAGAGGCGCGAGGGTGTGCGGGGATTGCTCGTGTCTCTGCCCGAGAATTAGAAGTGGACTGCTACGGTGGAATTCGTCTGAGAAAGAGAAAGAAATGGGATAAGAGGGCGGGAGGGCGCATCAGTCCTTTGAGTTAGCAAGCTGATCCTCCGGCTCATCCTACAGCAAAACAAAGGGATCAAAGTGGTGGATGCGATAGGAGGCTTTCACTTCCTCTCGCTCGCTCGACTCCCAACTATACCTCGTTTGTCTTGTAGTTTGTTCGAAATTTTACAGCAAACACCGCTGTGATGCTTCAACAAACACGGGGAAAAAGAGGAGAAGGCTGCAGCAGCGGCGGAGGAGGAGAAGAAAGAGGAGAGCACGAGGGAACGATCGGCAATCGGGCAGTAATTTGACGTTTTTCGCCGGCTGGCCGACATTACGCCCTCGTCTGCCGATGATCCTCGTTACCTACGAATTTGATCTATGTCCCTTCTTGCGGTGCGGCCCGTGATCGTCCTAAATCTTAATGCGATTCGCGTGCGCTAACACGATTAAGGACCCTCATATACTCGTCCGTCTGTGATCGCGTTATCTCTAATTACTTTAATAGGCCTCTCGCGTTTTCGTAAATTCGATTCCGCGCATCTAAGATATTCCATCGAGCTGCACGCTCCCCTTCCCCCCTCGACTTACGAGGATCGCACAAGTTAGCTCTACTTAATCGCGCTCGAGTGCAGGCGGATAGCTTAGGTGATGTGTGGCGGAGGATGCAAATTTTTGCGCCATTTGCACCGACGGGAGAATGAAAAAATCTATTTGCGCGCCGGCTATACCATTGGCTCCGCCGATCTCTGTTAAAGTGTCCCTTTAAACTACGCTCTATCTGCAGACCGTCTACAAGTCGGCGAAATTAGCGCGTCGGTTTAAACCCGTCGTGACGTTATCCGGCGGATAAGTAATCCAGGAGGAGATTCGAACAGGACGTGGTAGCAGTGTAATCGATAATTCCCACGAAGGAGGATGGTTGGTTTATAGGTGCTCTCGAGCCATCTAAATTGCGTAGAGATTAGGTGCTCGGAAGCCCGTATCCAGCATCGTCGGTCGAAGGAGCAGACAAGGAGGAGGGAGAGAGAGAGATAGAGAGAGAGTGAGAGACCGCGCACGAGAGAGACAGTGAGAGAGATGGAGAAGAGGGTTAGATAGAGAACGGGAGAAGAGAGAGACGAGGGCCACGGGTTTGAGATGCAGGGAGCGCATCGCCCTCTGGTTATAATGGCAAGATGGAAGGAATGGGGCCGGGTAGGAAATTTGCAAATTTTCACGACGGGGCACGGATAATTTCCGGTTGGCTCGGTGGTTTCCGCCCTTGACAAATGACTGTGGTTTCCGGTTATTGGCTGCCGCGACGACCCCCTTCGCATTCCGAATCAGGGAGAACGTCTCTTCGAGTGCTATCAAATGCACGGAGGGTACACGGCGATACATCAGACGAAAGGCGCGACGCGATTTAATTGTCTTTCGTCGTTGCTCGGGTATTTTGTTCCTACGTCGTGTCATCTTGATTCACCGTATTGCCGATTCTGAGGAAGCGGTTCGTAATGCAACGATTTGCCGCAAAGAACGTGGTATTTGAAAAGTTTAGTAATTTAACCCTGTGAACTCCGCGTGCCAATGTGCTGTGTGTGTGTATATGTGTGTGTATGTGTGTAGTCGGCTTTGAGAATTTTGTGGAATGTGTGGAATTCTACCCCACACATGCGCCAACTCGGTCGGCAGTGTAACAATAGAAGTGCACTAAATTTTATTAAAAATTGCAAACTATATATATAACGACTGTTGACAAATGGATACTTTTCACTGAATTTGACAGTACTCAATGAATAAACTGTCAACGACACGCAAAAGTCTGCGAAGCGCAAAGGGTTGAAATATAATACGTCAAACAGTGCCGGCTATGTACTCGCGCACACGGTACTTCATAGTATCGTTCATCTACATCCCTAGACTAAAAACCACTAAGTTATGAAAAGTATCTTTCACGCTTTATCGCAGAGGAATATCTTCTTCGTGAAAGGAGATATTTATTAACTCGACACATTCGGCCGAACGCGTGAAAAGTCCAAGCCGCGCTATTGAAAGCGACAAAATGGCGCGACAACGATTTACTCACAGCGAACGTTGAGAAAATATCCAATGCTGGTGAAAATTCCGAGCATATGCCGCGTGTAGCACTTGTACCAGCCGCTCTCGGCCCGAGTGATTTTTGTGAAGTTCAACCATCCGTCATCGCTCTGCTCCACGGGAGGCGGACCATTGTCTGAAACACAAGCGGAAAGCTGGTGGATATACGAATTAACGCGCTGGAAACAGCACGCACGGTCCGCGGATTTGCGTTAACGTCGTCGCAGTTCGCGTCAGCCGAGCGAGTCGCGGCTGCGAGCGCGGCTCCTCACCGACGATCCCGCGACATTTTTCACAGGGACGCCGCGCCGCTACGTGCGCACAGTTCGACGATTAACTGCCTACAATCGATCGTCATTCGCGACAAAAATAGAGAATTCAAAGGGATTGAGGTTTCCGAAAAAAATTTCGCTTTGGAAATTTCTGCGCGTCAAATATCACCGGTGCACAATACACACGCGCGCGCGCGCGTACACAGAGAGAATGTCGCAGTCAAAATTAGTGTAGCATTTTGTAACCGAAAAACATATCGACATTCTGCCTTAATTCATTATCTCACATGTCGTTTCACATGCGCTGCTTTTATTTTAACAACTGAAGTTTATTGTCGGAAAATTTATTACGTACATTGCTCAGCAAGATAAACTCCACTGACAGGTTATCCCTGCACTACTGGAAAACATAGGAGAAAATTGGAAAGAATTTCATATGAAGCTACAATAAGCATATGAAGCTGTAATGAAAGCTACAATATTCTCTCCGTGTAAAATACGTTAGTGAATGGAGGGACTCCTTTTCCGCTAAAACGCAATTCCTTCGCTCTGATAGCAGTCAATTATCATCTTACTCGGTGTTACATGTATAGAAACGATCAAACGGCGACGGGTAATTTCCAAAAGACAGTTACTCCGTATAAAGCACGACGCTTCAATCCTCATCAACCTGTTATCGAGTTATCGCGCTATTCTGAGATGATACTCCGTCGGGCGATTTAATTACTCACTAAGAAATGTATTGCTTTCGCGCGCTTTTCGGTGACGCTATTAAAATTGCATCGGTCTATCTGCTCTCGGCAGTCTCGACCGAAAGAGAGATCGTGTGCGGCAGGAATGGAGACAGAGACAGAGTAAGAGCTAGCTGGCAAGTCACTCGTGCGAATTATTCGCGAAATAATTGAGGTAATAGCGCAATACGTCAGTCCAGTGTGCGACGCGTCGCCGTGACGGAATTACAAATTTATTACCGATCAAGCGCTACGAGACAGCAGAGAGAGAGAGAGAGAGAGGGAGAGAGAGAGCGGATCCTGTAAAGGAAATAATGGAAGCGGGAGGGAACGATGATAGACAGAGAGAAAGAGAAAGAGAGAAAGAGAGAAAGAGAAAAAAGGAGCGACCGAAAAGGGGAGACTAAAAAGAGACAGTCTCGTTCGACTTTATTCATAAGTACGGAAATGACTCTGAAAGGACCGATATCCATGAACATTTCGCTGGCCCCTTCCCTTTGCGTGAAACTTTTGCTCGTTCTATTTCTTTCTCCACTTTTTCGCCGTTCCGCCACCAAACACTCACATATCCCACCCGTTCTCTCGCCGACCTCGTTACGGTGAAGCTGAGGATTCGACGCAGCTGTCGGATTCGAGCTAGACGAAAGTGTAGCGCTCTCGCGAATGTGAAACTATTCTAGCACGAGGAACAAAGAAAGAGCACAGTCAGAAGACACGTTCACGAGAGGTGGAAGACGGGACGGGGGTTAGCTGTGTGGGAAGATCGCGGTAGTAAGAAGAGCGAGAGCCGAGAGCACAGAGAACGAGAGAGAGTTACACGAATCGTCCGCGGACGGAGTTTTGCGGTGAAACTTTTACGCGGGCCGGCCATAACCGCGCGTAGAGAGTACGCAGGGGCGCGGGGTGGACTACTCTACTGAGGGGTGGTTAGAGGCCGCTCTCCTTTAACGTTGCCAAAGCACGGCCGATTGTGTTAACGGTATCTGTGGCCGCGCGACCGGCTCGTCGGTGAGACGTCGTGCCGTTTCGTATGAAATAGCGTCGCGCCGTGACTTGGTCCAAAAAGCACGACATTTCCGGTAAACTCGACCGGGATCCAGCAATTTGGCAGAGAAACAAACGAAGCCGACTCCAAGTAGATTGGAGGCGACCGCAACCTGCGGGGCGGGGAATCCTTCTGTTGGAATAGCGCGAACCAGAATTTCTCAAGTAAGAGTTAGGATACCGTCCGCTATTTATAGGAAAGAAGTGAATGAGTAAGAAAAAAGCTGCAGCATGTTTCGCTTTCATTTCAGCTTTAAAGTTTCTCTCTCACTCCTATTCGCTTCTTCCCTATTAATCCTTACAAGCCGGCAAGCCACTATAGTGAGAGCCATTACAGTAAGGATATCATGTTTTTATCAACCCACCCTTTCACAGAAAAAATTCTAGTTCAAAGACTGTAAAAGTCGCTCAAAAGACCGCCCAGGCCATAAGAGTTAATGGCGGATAAGGTTCGGTCAGGAATCATCACGCGGTGTCCCAACTCTCATTTGAAGCCTGAACCAAAATTTTAGACCGGTTTTCGACCTGAGCTTTCCAACATCTGTATGTTCTAAAAGTTCAGTGCATGTTTAATACACATAGAAACTGAAGTTCTACTTAACGTCTCTAAATAGCAGCAAATATACAAGATGCCACTTATAGATCCTAAAGAGGACTTTTGACTAGGTTAGTAGAAAGAGATCGAGTAGGATCCAAAGGGATTGATATAGCCTTCAGAGTATCAAAATGGGCGTGAATAGTGGAATAATGAGGTCAAGAGTAGGATCAAAATTTCGATTCGCGAGAACTCCAGTGCGAACAGAGAAGACTAGCTTATCGCAATTATCGCAATTCGTAGGTCTCCTTTTTTTTACGCTGTAACATTTGCGCGTCAATTTATCTTAATTATCACGCGACTTAATTATCCTCTTTATAACTTTCTGATCATCCCAGGTAAACGGTGGAATTTGCAATTCGAACAAAAGCTCGCAAACAGTTCGTAACATCGCAAACTCGGACCATCCTCGGAGCGTTCCGCATACATTAGAGCCGCGATCCGATATCCCTCGCATCGTGCACGATCCTCCGAATGAACACGATCGTATAGAGAGCGACTTCCCCTCGAGCGATTTCACGCAGCTGACACCTCCCCGTTTCTTCTTGCAAAATGTTCCTGAGTGCAGCGCGTATCGGCGTGATAGATAGATCGCGCGCGACAGTACGGTGATAAATGATTTTCGCCGTTTTTATTTCGGTACCCGCGCGGAAAGGTCCCCGCGTTACAACACGCGGAGCTGTCTCGACGAAGTACACGGTCGATCGGTCGGTCGAATGAACGATTATATTATGTTATATGCGCCTGGAAATCCAAGCAGGACGGCGGCGCGCGCTTAATCGCTTAAACATTTGTTTACCACAAAGCGATGTGCAGCTTTGTGAAGCTATATCGTAAATTCACGCGCTTGCGACTCGTAGCAATACGAAGGAGAGAATCGTCCGAATTCGCCTCCTGCCGGTTTGCCTTCTATAAAGGACGCTTTGAGGAGGAGAGTGAACGTGCTTTCTCGAGGCATGCGGATTGGGACGTTTAATAAGAGCAAGCGTACCAAAAAGAAATTGGGAATGGGCCGCGGGGCGGGTTTCGCCGCGGGAGGGCGAGCGGGAGGGGGACGAGGAGCAGGAGGGAAGTAAGAGGAAGGGGAGAAGGTTCGCGGGCGAAGGCATTGCCCGGAGCGGGTACGTGCTCCAAAGGATATTAAAGTATTTTAATTGCAGCGGATCTCGCGGAACGCTGGAAGGATTTATTCGAAATCACTCGATTGAGTCTATGAATAGGGATTAAGCTTGGCCCCGACGGCGCGGCTCGGTGCAGCGCGCGCCGTCGAGCGAATTCCAGACGTCAGGAGAGGAAGGCAGAAATAATTGAATATTTAATAGGATAACTCACATATAGCCGTTTTCCCATCGCCGCGCGACGTCATCCGTCACGACGACGGAACGTCGATTTTTCTGTCACGTCCCGCGCGCGCCCGGTGGCTGCCGATTAATTATACAGTCTGCCCGGGCGTAATACGAAGACGGGACGACTTTAATAAATCTAGTTATCTCGTAGCCCATGCAAAAAATCATTTCTCACCGATCCGCGGTACATATCCGCATAAAAGGCAGTCATTTCCGGCCCCATCATGGGGACACCGGAAATGTGTGGGAAAGTATGATTTTTTTGAAAGGGGAAACGAGTGTGTTAAATGGAACGTGTGTGTGTGTGTCGAGCGGTTGATGTGTGTGCGTGTTTTGTGTATTAACTACATCGAATTTAATTAATTTAATAGCTCGAGATGCGATCAGAATTATTCCCGTAAAAGATTAATGATTACATTCAGCATAATGAATATTACAGATATATAATACGGCTAATGGCTAATGGCGAGATGTATTTTGTTATCGCAGTTCTCAAAGATTTATCTTTATCCGGAGATTATATTAATGTGTGTACGCAAACACACACAAAATTACTCGAAGAGGGAGTTCAATACTAAAAATTAAACCCAAGCCAGGTACATATATCGACATTCTGCTTGGATGTGTCATCCTTCCGGTTCACATGTGCTGTTTATACTTTAGGAACTGAAGTTTACCATCAGAAAATTCCCTATATTTCTTAGCAAGACAAATTCCATTGTGACAGTTTATTCCTGTATTACTAGAGAACATGTAAAAAATTGAAAATTTTTATGAAAAAGAAAGCCACAACATTTTTCCCGTGTACGCAAGCGTGAAGTGTGTCAACTGGCGGGTTTAATTTCGGTCTCAGTCGATAAAAAACGCGCGATTTACACGAGATTGAGAGAAGTACTAAATAAAGCCGTAGTATCGCGCAATTACGCCCGTCGGGATCTTGTTATATAAAAGATTAATACCTTTTATCCTTCACGTATGAGGCGTGTAACGGGGATCAGAAGGGTGGGGTTCCGCGGGAGAGCGCTTAATTCTCCTAACGCGATATAAGAGCCCGAGAAATAAGTGTATATCCGCGCGGTAATAAAAAGTCGCAGTATGTCAGACATACGGCCGGATCGTTTACTTTAGAGCGGTATTTGGCAATAATT